TTTATGGAAGGTCCTGAAAGCGGTGGCGCCATTTTAATAAGTGCTGGAGCTGGTGACTGTAATATTTATACCACAGACTGCCAGCGAGGGCAAGGTCTCCATGCTTTGAGTGGCCACACCGGTATGTTCACAGCTCATCAGAATCATTAGCTTTATAAAATGTCTTGCTATATGAAAAGTTTAATAAAGTTTAAAATGCATACTATCCGTTAAAAACATAAAGATAAAAAGTTACAAGCACCTCTTATAGTCTCCCTTGTTGTGGCTTAAGTGTTTCTTAATTATAGACCGCTTAGAGAGGGCTGTAAAGACTATGAAGCGGTATATAAGTCTAAGTGACGTTGCTATAGATATTAATAGCTTTTTAAAAACTGCAGCGAATACAAATCAGTATCTGTTGTATGCAGGTCACATTTTAGCACTTTATACATGGAGCGGATGGATGATAGCATCAGGATCCCAAGACAAGACTGTGAGATTCTGGGATCTCAGAGTACCAAGTTGCGTTCGAGTTGTTGGAACAACATTTCATGGAACTGGTATGTTTACTGATATTGACCTAAAAACCCTTATTGGTGGCAACTGTTCAGTATATTTATTGTGCAGAAGATGGAGATTGTCATGAAAAGGAACAGCTTCTTCATAAATTTGAGCAAATACTGGGAATCTTTTGTTAGACATCTAACACTATTTATTAGAGGGACTTTTCAAATAATACTACAGGATGTTTATTTTGTCAATTGCATATTTAATGATCAATGTTCCAATCTCACATTGTATGAAATATCAATTTTAAAATGTAGAGTAACTTAAAACTTTTACTTATACATGCTTTTATTGTCAAGTAAGTTTAGCTTTCTCAAATGTTTTTGTTTTTACCTGAGTTGCAAAGACAGAATCAGATCGCCTTAACAATATTATACAGTTGATCTTATATTGATACCAATGATTGTAAATGCATCCTTATTTTGACTAGTATTTTAGAAAATCTACATTAAAATCTTGATTTGAACCCAGGTTCACAGTATATAATGGGTTCTTCTCTTTCAGGCAGTGCTGTTGCATCTGTAGCTGTAGATCCTAGTGGTCGTCTGCTAGCTACCGGACAGGAAGATTCCAGTTGTATGCTTTACGACATTCGTGGTGGGCGGATGGTTCAAAGTTATCATCCTCATTCCAGTGATGTCCGCTCTGTTCGCTTCTCCCCTGGAGCTCATTACCTTCTCACAGGATCTTATGACATGAAAATAAAAGTCACAGATCTGCAAGGTAATTTCACTTCTGAATGATTTCTGAATAGCACAAATACTCCCCATCTCTATCTTCAGAACAACTTCATAAATGTATTTATTTGGTTTTTATCCCACCTTTAGTATTTTTTTATAAGTAAGTCAAGGCAATAAACATGCCCGATACTTCTTTTACCTCCT